GGTGCCTAGGCATATTTAGTCGAATGAGTCCCCATTAAGCTACCACTCGTTTCGTGAAAAGGCTAGACTGTCAGTGCAATCCTGATTAATCTGGTAGGCTTTAGATCACTCAGTCTGATGGCCTAAGTGCCTAAGTACTCCGTTAAAAGGGCTTTGCTAAGGGGCTCAATTTCTCTGATATTGCACAGTAATAGATTACTTTACAAAAAAAGTACTAAATTACTTGTTATATTCAAACATTACGAATTGATTCATTAATTTGATATCAATAGGATTCATATCTAGACTAATCTATAGTATTATATAAAAAGAGAAAAGGGTATACAACAGACTGACTGAAACAGCTGGACCTAGAATGATGAAATTTGGACAAAAGGTACCTATTATTGAGTAATAAGTTGGGATATTTTTGGAATTCAGCCTCTTAAGCGTGAAATTTTCAAAAGACTTTTGTTCGTAAAATCTTGTTCCTTAGACCTATTGACTGTAAATTTTCCATAAACATTATTTAATAGGTGTACATTAAGCCTGTTATATAAAATTTCTACAAGTACCCTCAAAACATCATAAAATTTCGTGTTGAACTTTGTATAGGAGAGCATCCAAATGTGCATAGAATTGATTAAAATTTATTTTTTTGTACACCTTGCCTGCATAAAATAAATATGCTATCTGTGTTTTCATTTTTCAAAACTATCCTCATAAAACAAAGATATAGCATGTTGAAGTTTTAAAAAGTGCGTCAATGTACGCCTACACTTTCGGTCGTAGAGACATGATATTTAGCAAATAGGTTGTTTAAATGACGTGGGAATCAAGGAGAAAGGATTCTTTTTAAATATCCCACCGTGAATTGGGTTATACAGGGGATCAAAGTTTTTATGGGAAAACAAGTTTGGCTAGCTTAACAGCTTTGAAATTTGGCTTAGATAAACTAAACTGAAACGAAAAAAAAACGTGTTCAATTTTTTTTGAAACTCTATTTCTACGACGAGAAATAAGGATAGCAAGTTATCTATAAAATATATTCAAAAAATATGCTCTAATATGTTATTACTAGCTCCGCCCCGCAGTTTTGCCCGCGAAGTTCCCGTTCCCTTGGGAAATCCGGGATGGCAAGATATTCAACCTATATGCCTTAAAGAAACTTTTTGCTAAACAGAAAAATCAGGATGGTCATGCCCCCGACCAAGTAGATTTCAGATATACGACCTGTTTTCAGCAGATTTACTCTGATTTGTTATTAATTAAATACTCCTAAAAAGCCTAAACTTCATATAATACCTGCGCCCCGTCTGTGTCCTACGTCTTTTCTGTGTGACCAGAGCCTTAGCATATAAGTATTGTAACTTTGTTAAAATAAATAATTTGGGTCCGGTGGGGGTGGTGAGGATAGGTGCAGAGGCACACTATTCTGCCGTATCAGCTATGTTCATGACCAGACTTTACACGTAGTATAGGGCAATTAGTTGCGCCTTGTATAAAAAAGTACCTACAGATGCAACACACCTTACAAAAACTGCCATTATGCAGAACTAATTAATTTGTCAAAAAACCATTGTGTCGAAAAGGTTACATATATCAGAAGAGCATCATTAAATTGATGACCGAAAGAATGTAACAAGTTTACATGTTACCTCGATTATGTTAATACCGTTCGTAACATGATTGGGCCCGGATTTTAATTTTATTATAAACGTCACTCTCTGGGCTCGTACTCAGGGTTTTCAATCAGAAAATTCAACTGGAAACTCATTCAACAAAAGTCCATACATCGCCATTTCTAACAAAAATGACCAATTTCAGGTGTTTGATAAAATGATAGTGGGTAGATTACTTGTATTGATTATTATTTAGCTAGCCATTTAATGGATGCTAAAAGTTAATCTATACTAATATTATAAAGAGGAAAGGTTTGTATGTAAGTATGTTTGTAACGAATTGGCTCAAAAAGTACTGGACCGATATTTAAATTTCTTTCACCATTTAAATGCTACATCATCACTGATTTATATAGGCTATAGAGTATTTTCAAAAAAGTTAGGGTTCCGTATGAAAACTTCGATAATGTAACCCAACGTGTGTAAAAATACCAAAAAATAGCCTTATATCGCGTACGCTGCGGAATTCATTGACAATAGAGCAAAGTGATGTACTAAAGTTTTATAGAGGATACAAATATTTACAAAAATTCCGTGATACTATACGTCTAACTATTACAGTTATATCACAACTAGAGGTCCCCTGCGGTTTCGTCAGCGTTAATTTGAGGAAAATGAAGAATTCTGTCATACATGATTTTTGTGTAACTTTAACCGTTTACCCAACGCACGCAACGGAATCTCACAAATGGAATATTTTTACCCTTTTTTGCAACATTTTCATCGATGCTCCGCTGCTACTGGTCGTAGCCTGGTAATATATGTATAACCTATAGCCTTCCTCGATAAAAACACTGTCCAATACAAAAAGAATTTTTCAAATTAGAACAGCAGAGCAATGTTGCATTCGGTACAACGGGTCCTAAACTACGCAACGATTTTTTTACTTGGAATTTGGTTTATAACTATTATGAAGAAAGTTATTATATATATTGTCATACAAGCCTTTAAACAAAAACTATAGTCTACACCACAGCTCTACACCGAAGCAAAGCCAGGGCGGGCCACTAGTGTATTATAAACCCGGAATTTATTCGGACGGCTGACCAAAAATCCGAACAAAGCCGAACCAGAATACAAAAGAATGCATCCGGATGTTAACCCTACTCGTACGAGAATACGAAGCAATTTATTAATTACTCCAAATTGAACGCTTGTTGTTCGAACGTTTGACGGCGGGGTGTATGAGCTAATTAAACGGGAGCACGTGTATGTAAACTCTACCAAAATAAAATTGGATCCGAATGAAACTTAATTGGACGTGAAAAAGTAGTGTGCTGTATTTTTAATGCTTCAGGCTGTAGACGTTCAGTGTGAAAAGTTTCACTTGCATATTTAAGGCTTTTAAATGATTTTTCCAGCTTTATGATCATAGCGTTAAGTTTGAATTCTATAGAATCTGCATTGAGTCTAAATTATAAAGAAGCTGGCATGCAACATGACATTAAAATGGACTAGACTTATAGGAGATGATATGAAGCGTAGGCACTCTATTATCAATTAAAACAAAACTAGATAGGAACTAGAAGCCTTGACTGAACATGTATACGTTATCAAAGTATAGGTAGGCGAAAGGGGAAGATCTTCCTCCTAGCTGGGTGATGGTAGCTCGGCGGCCGCGGCCCGACTGATGTTGGTCCGGCATTGTATATATGGAGTGTTAGCCTCCAAATTTCTCTTGCGCGATATAGGCTTCCATACGTTGTAAGCTTAGCGCCAGTAATGCCATCTCTCGAGGAGGCGAGTGACTATTTCCACCATATTGATTATATGTGGAGCATGTAGATGTCGCCGCCACAAAAGTTTCGGATAATGAAGTGTCACTCGTTAGATCCGCCCGGTATACGATGAATACCCACTAGTGTTTCGACGCTCACTCGTTGACAGGTGGATTACCAATGGACTGGATGTTGTGTTATCGCCAATATATCTCGCTTGGTCAACAAGTGAACATCGTGTAGTCTTTGTGGATACTACGTAATTTACGAATATGGCCAATAGTCTGTTAGTGATTTTCCGGCCTCGAGCCACAACTGCTACCAATTGCTTCTTGCCGTACTAGCTGCCACCTTCGGCCGCAGCCAAGGAACTCTTGGTACAAAAGCTCCAGCAAAGTACCAGCGAGATCTGGAACTTCCCTCAGCGATTTTCCGTTTTAGCTATGATATGATAGTCTTCAAAAGGCGGGTAAACCTTTCCTTCAGAGCCAGCAACGCATGAGTTGGAATGCAAGTGTCCATGGGGGCAGTGCCCACTTACCATCAGGTGGACTAACAGCTCTTGTGCCTGCATAAATACAAAAAAAAAGGTTAATTGCTAGTCGGACAGAAATAAATGAATATAAATAAATAAATATTTCCAACACTCACACCCCAAGTAAGCACTGTAAGGCTTGTGTTATGAGATGCTAGGGTAACGGATAGAATACTTAAACTGTACATAATAATAAGATTTATATAGATATACATGTTACACAAACATCTGCCCCCACCGGGAATCGAATCCGGGACCTCTCGACTCGGTGGCACCATGAAACCCGGCATACAAACCACTCGGCCAGGAGGTCGTCAGGAGGAGGTCAGAAAGTGCCCAAGCTCCATTTGTCTCTTGAAAATAAATCTTTGTGAACAGTAAGTGCGTAGTCAACGCAAGACAATTATGCGCACATCGGGTTGTTCCACTCAGCGTCCGGGCGTGGACAACTTAAGATTGAAACAATCTAGTGATGCTATAAAGTTTGATGTAGTAAGAGCACGTATATGAAAGTCAGAGAAAGAATATTAATGGCACGAGTCAAGGAGGCGCTTTTCGGGCGTCGAATGGCTCCTATCGGTGATTATTTGTATGTCTAAACGCTATATTAAATGGGTTACAGGCAACCATGTGTAACATTTTCCACGCGTTAGTGTTGTACAGGAAATATCATAGGTAATGAAAAACATCTTGTGATATATCAACTCAAATTATTCGTTTTATCAAGTGATAACAGATACTAAAAAACACATAGGTACCTACTGTTATTTGATAAACGACGTTCAAAGTAATAGTCCAAAATACCAAGCCCGCCAGACCTTACTTATTTTCTGACGGAAAAAATATGGATAAAAGCTCCGACTGTTAGTAAAGTGAGTAAAATTTTTACGTTGCCAGCTCAAATTAGCGTGTATATACATGTTTATTGTACATACTAATACCACTCGATTATCTATAATTTGTCCATCAGAAAATAAGTAGGGTCTGGCGAGCCTGGTATCTTACTCTATAAGCACGGATCGTGGCCAAGTAGTCCATCCGTCACTTGTGTTGAAGCCTCATTATTTGTGTTGTTTTCTTTTGCAGGCACAACTTTAGTGCTGCGTTCCACAACGGTCATCAGAGACTCCTGTACGGATGCGATAAAGTGGATCAAATGAATACATCAACAACGAAATACAGTAAGTGATTATACCATGTTTATTTCGCAATGGCCGGTCTAAGTATGGGTTCTCCATGCTTTGAGAAGCATGTTAAGTTGTTGGTCCCGGCGTTATTTGCAGTCGATAATAACTTAACTACCAATCCTTTGATTCTCCCTGTTCCGTATATAGCGAAAGCCTGCGCACCAGCAGCGGATACATTAAAAAGACGATAATGATGATAACTGTACATGCGTACATGACCTGCGCAGACAAAGGATTTTTGTCCGCGGAGGACGATCGAATTCAGAGACAAAAAGTCGTCGTTAATCGTGAAAATGTCCGCCCAGGACTTGTCACGGATCCAGTGCACACGATGTTCGAACCTCTGTCGACCGAAAATTATAAAAGCACATGCTATGGAAATAAATATGAACTCAGATTACGTTGTGTTGTAATTAACATGAAGTTTAAGAAAAAGAGAAGATGTTTTTAAAAAGAATACTGGGTCCATCTTTTTAAATTGGATCGAGCACGCAACGCGGACTAAAGATCGGTTTGTGCGTTGTTGCGCCTAGTCATATGAGTCCTTTTTTAGGGACACACCGTACTTTTTTTCCTGTTAGGTGTCACGGTGTCCTCAGTTGTTCGTAGGTCTTTTTAAATGCGGTACTTTTAGAGCGTGCACTCCCTCATTACATAGAGAACCGTCTCACGCAGTGCTGCTCTATGAAATAACATGAAACTAACACGCCGAGTGGACGCCCGTTCCGTACCCCGCTTAACGCAGCGCACGCTCTTAATCCGTCATGTGCGTTACTCGATGCAGTTGTAAGCGATCTATTTCGGCGGATAACAGTCCCTCGTCTGCGCAAGCTACGAGTCTAAAGTTATAATAATAACCAAACTTAACCACTGTTCTGTCGAACTCTTCAAAGATAAGGACGTATTTGCTATTTTATATTTTATTCAAATCTGATTTTCTTTTTAGTGAACGGCTTTTATTGATCAGCCTCGTGCTTTCAATGGAATTGTGCCTTCCATAAATTAGAAGGACTGGAAGTAACCTTTTCCAGGAATATGACATGACCCTTTGCAATACGTATATGCCAAACTATTTGTTTGGCTTAGCATAAAACAGAGTAATCTTAGCTGACTAAAACAAGACGCAGACAAGGGTAGAATTGCGTATAAACCAAATAAGTAATACAAAAATATGTTTTATATTTCTCCCCAATACAATTGTTCTAAACTAATACAGTTTAGGGAGAAATATGCAAAATATTTTTGCAATACTTTTTTTGTTTAAACGCTATTTTACCCTTGGCAGCGTAATTATTATAAACTATCATTACAACTACATAAAGATTGTATGACGAACTCGATATCTCCATACAATACTTCATTTTCACTTTCTATTTCAATATTTCATAGTTTGTTATAAGAGGTCAGACGGGAATTTAAAAATAGGACATTGCAATAAGAAATGCAATAAGCCTGGGCAAAGATACGCCTATAGCTTCATAATAGGACAGGCTATAAATATCACGGCTAGACCGAAACTCCATGACACCGGTGAAGTATTACGTACTCAGAGAAATAGCTACCGAAACTGTTTCGGCCCTTCCTTATTCTATTCACTGGAGATTACTTTTATGCCAACAGTAAATACGAATAAATATCGCACTCTTTCGCGTGCCTACGAAATATAGAGAGCTTTTTCTTAGTTTTAGTTTATTACGCGTTGAATTTCTATTTCTTGTCTTTCTACGTCTTGGAATTAACGAAAAAAATATGCATCAGCCCATCAAAAAGATGTTTTACTAGAAAATATCGATGCAACAAAATTTTCTTTAGATGAATATATGACGCTGCCTTACATCCTAGAAAAAATTCAACACATCTATTGAAGTCTCAGTAGAATGGTAGTTAGTATATTCGTTTGGATTGCAAAAGTAGCTGGTTCAAGTTGTCCTGTAGAAAAAAAACGACGGGTTGCACTCCGGGAGTGCCGGCAGAAGTGAAAACTTGAATATTAACATTATAGCTATTAACGGAATTGTTACCATGTACCTTGTTTTTTATGAGTCTCCGATATTTCGGCACTGTTGCAAGCGCCATGATCACGGAGTAACTGACTTACTTTAGTTTAAAACAATATATTGAATATTAACGTTGTGCATTTTTGATATTTTGGAATGGTTAGGGAATAATTTCGCACGAATTGCTTTAATTATCAGTATAAAAGTACTATCATGTATGTGGTAGAATACAATGTATATTTATTGCGCTATCGTACATAAACATGACAATTTATATTATATTAAAAAAGTTTATCTCTCAGAAAAATCAACTTACGTGAAACACGTTTAAGCACACTTAGCGACATCTATTGTAAAGAAATCAACCTACATGAATCACATAATTAAGCGCACCTAGCGACATCTATTATAAGAAAAATGCATTTTCTTCGCAATAAAGCTGCCACGTGGAAAAGTGTACAACGCCGCTAAAGAAGTTTTCACTTCAAAAACTTGAAAAATTACGTTTCACTTGTTAACTTTCCAGCTTATAGTTTATATTTTCTAGGCGAGCTTATAGCCAAGCGTAGTAGTACCTACGCTTGGCTACCACAAATTATTATTCATATAATAATAATTTGTGTGATTTGCCTATTAATTTAACCACTTACCGCCTATCTTAATGAGTAAACGAATAGTTAATGCCGTTTAATACGTACATTAAAGGCTGTTTAACAACTCTCAGATTTTTTTATTTAATTAAAACCCAATCAAAACAAATGTCATCTGCATGATCACAAATTAACATGAATAGTAAATTAGGTAGAATTCTGTAATTCGTCCTTTATACTACACACATCAAAAAAGTCTAAAAAGTACGCATCATTAACAGAAAATGTATGTTTTATTATTTGATGTTGAACTTTCTTCTTAGCAAAGTAGATTGGTATTCAATCTTTTTACTCTCGAAAATGTAATTGCTGATTTTAAAAACAAAAATAATCATTGTCTTTATAATAGTCCTACTAATATTATAAATGTGAAAGATTGTACTACGTTTGTTACTCAATCACGCAAAAACTATTAAAAAAATTCAAAATTCAAAATTCAAAATTCAATATCGTTTATTCAGTCTAGGCTGTTACAAGCACTTGTGAATGTCGAAAAGCTACGCCATCGGTTCGCAAAACTACGGCGGGAGACCTTGTACTGAGAAGAACCGGCAAGAAACTCAGCAAGGGCTGCTTTTTTCTCCCTGTTTTATTTCATACAGTGTCGTCCAATTGAAAGTTGACATCAAACTTGCAAACATGTGTTGAGGTCAACTTCCATCACATAATGTCAAATATGTAACAATCAATGAATTTACTAACAATAACTGCAAAGATAAGTCCCAAAATAGCAAGAAACAATTTTCAAAATAAAATGAACAAGTATATGAAAGGGAGTAAGTGCAAGGTTCTCTTCAAAACTCTTTCTATAACTGGGAGCCTTAGTTTTAATATAACTTTTGAAAAATTATCTACAAGTAAAATTACAACCAGGCCGTTTTATCATTCAAATATTGATTGACAGTATAATATCCTTTCTTAAGTAAACAATTCTTAATGTGTATTTTAAATTTATGAGGAGGCAAATCAAGGATATCAATAGGAATCTTATTATAGAAATGTATACCTTGACCCATAAATGATTTATGAACCTTCTGTAACCTGTAATTTGGTATCTTGAGTTTATTTTTATTCCTTGTATTAAAAGAATGTATGTCACTATGTTTTAGATAATAGTTAATATTGCTTCGAACAAAAAGTATGCAATTATAAATGAATTGAGAAGCAACAGTCAAAATCCCGATTTCTTTAAATTTTTCTCTAAGAGATGTTCTAGAACTAAGTTGATAAATAGCCCTTATAGCTCTTTTTTGCAAGATAAATATAGTTTCAATATCGGCTGCTGATCCCCAGAGAATAATACCATAGGATACAATACTATGAAAGTAACTAAAGTATACAGTTCTAGCAGTAGCTACATCAGTAAGTTGTCTTATTTTACGTATGGCATAGGCTGCTGAACTAAGTTTACCAGCTAGCAGAGAAATATGAGGATACCATTGCAATTTCGAGTCTATGGTTATACCTAAGAATATCGTTGACTCAACTAAATCTAGGTTTTCATTGTTTAGTTTAATTCTAATGGTTTCGCTTCTAACATTAGGTAAAGTGAATTTAATGCATTTGGTTTTATTTGCATTTAATTTTAAGTTATTTACATTAAACCAGTGCAATACTTGTGAGAGAGCATTATTTACATCGTCAAAGTTATTCTTGTATCGGTCAACCTTAAATAATAAAGAAGTATCATCAGCAAACAATACGATCTCACACAATTTTTCCACAAAAAATGGCAAATCGTTTATGTACAATAAAAATAGAAACGGACCTAAAATCGATCCCTGGGGAACGCCCATTTTCACATAAGATCCAGATGACTTAACACCATTTACCTCTACAGTTTGAACTCTGGAACTGAGATACGATAGTAGCAAGTTTTGGGCTGCGCCTTTGATTCCATAGTGATTTAATTTTAACATCAGCGTCTGGTGCTCAACGCAGTCAAACGCCTTGGATAAGTCACAGAATACCCCAAGAACATTCTGCGACTTCTCCCAGGCTTCCATTATATGTCTTATAAGTGCAACACCCGCATCCGTTGTTGATCTACCCCTAGTAAAGCCAAATTGATTATTATGTAACAGTTTGTTCAAACTGACATGCGATAATAATTGATCTAAAATAATTTTTTCGAAAATTTTACTTAATACCGGTAATATTGATATAGGTCTGTAATTACCGGGATCATCTCTTATGCCGTTTTTGAAGAGAGGGATAACTTTACTATATTTCATAAGGTCTGGAAAATCACCTTGATCAATACACTTATTGAATATATCTGCAAGATAAGGAGCGATAACTGTTATTATACTTTTAGTAATTTTAATAGACATTCCAAACAAATCAC